TTCTGTGAAACCACAAATCAAGCAGCACTATTAAACCAAAAATGTCCATGGCACAATGGAAAATGTTTTGTTATAGCTTCCCAGATGGTTGAAAATATTTCAAGCTGAAATTTGAATCAAATTGTAGAGCTGAAGGTATCAGTTTGGGTCCATGCCTGTCATCCCAACACTTGTAAGAGAGACAGAGGCAGGGGAGTGGCTGCAAGACTGAGGCCATTCTGGTCTACATAGGAAGTTCCAGGACAGTCAGAGCTATGCAGACCTCATCTCAAAACAAACAACCTAAGTAGTCAACCAACTGACCAACCAACCAAGCTCAGTTGAAAAACATGTTTGCAAGGTGGAAACAGAAGAAGATGGGCGTAAAGATGCACTGAAGGAAATTGTCTGCCAGGCAAGCAGGAGGAGCTGAGTTCAGATCCCCAGCACCCTCGTGAAAAGCCCCGTGATAGTATATACCTGCAATCCCAGTGCTGGGAAGTGGAGACAGGAGGGACTCTGGGGTACATGGGCAGCCAGTCTAGTCAACCTGTGAGCTCCAGATTCAGCGTAAGACAGTCGCCAAGAACAGACAGTGAGACATGCCTGAAGCCTCCCCCTGGCCTCCATATTCAGATGCATTCTCCCAGCCCTACACAATGGCTTAAAGACATTCCCCCGCCAAGATATTTTACTTATTTACTTGTTTATTTTTAGGTGTGTGTGTGTGTGTGTGATATGCCATGTGCATGCAGGTGCCAGAACAGACCAAAAGATGGCATTTTTTCCCCCAGAACTGAAAATACAAGCATCTGTAAGCCATCCGATGCAGGTGCTGAGAACCCAAACGTGGGTCCTCTGGAAGAGCAGCAAGAGCTTCTAACAGCTGAGCCATTTCTCCAGCCCCAGAGGTGTTTAAGAAATATCTCTAGCTCCCTAACTAAGGGTCTATATTAACAATTTAAGCCTCTCCATACCTCATGTCCTCAGTTTTACAATGGAATCAATTATACCTGCTGGGTATATCACTCAGAATTGTAAGGAAAGTCAAGTGTAACAAAATATACAATGCTTTGTGCTCGGCAGTGGTGGCACGCGCCTTTAATCCCAGTACCCAGGAGGCAGGTGGATCTCTGAGTTTGAGGCCAGCCTGGCCTAGAGAGTGAGTTCCAGGACTACAAAGAGAAACCCTGTCTTGAAAAACCAAAACTAAAACAACAAATAGCAAAAAAGATGCTTTGTTAGCTCTTCGAAGCCAGACAAGGTGAACAGGCTGGCTATTGTTGTTTGCCGTTAAACAGATCTCTCATGCCGTACGCTCAGAGGCGCACAGAAACACGGCAAGTCCTTTGTACGTTCAACAATATTTACTGTGCCAGGCACCGAGAAAGAACAAAAGAACCATCGCGGGACACGTGGTGGAGAAGATAAAACACACAGACGGAACCTGCCCCACCGGAGATGGCTTTTCCTTTTGATTTCTCTTCTGTCACGTGGAAGAGAAAATGAAAAGCGGCAGTGGGAAGCCACAGATCTCAAGGCATTCATTTCTTACCACGCTTCAATCAGGTCTAAACCCCTAAGCAGGATAAATAGGCGGGTGTCTGGGGAGCATTCTCACCGCCACCAAGGTCCAACAACAAAAGAGCCCAACTAAGACAAACAGAATATTCACTAGACAGAGAGGGAATTTAACTCTGCATTAAATCAGGTGAAATTAGAATTGAGAAGTCATTCCTCGATGTGAAGACGCTCAAGGTTCATTCAAACTGTTCTCTTCAACAACTCAATGAGGTAAGATTACAATATGATACTTCTCCTTTTCCTTTCCTCTCTCCAAATCCTCCCCATATACTACGCGCCACTTTCCTTCAAATTCATGGCCTCTTCTTTGATGGTTATCGCACGCATATATGTGTATGTATACATAGATATATTTCTAACTATAACCTATTCAGTTTGTATAATGTGACTTGTGTGTGTGTGTGTGTGTGTGTGTGTGTGTGTGTGTGAGAGAGACTGTTTAGAACTGGACAGCCAGTAGGTATGCTCTTGTCTGGGGAAGGCCACTTCTCCCGCTTCCAGGTTTCCTGGGCTGATTACACTTCTTTGTGTAGTGCTGAGGCCTCATGAGCCTTTCCGGGTCCACCTGGGCAAGTTCACTGGCATCATCCTTGCTCAGCTCACATTTGGGCAATCATGCTGATGAGACGTTATGGATGTAGCTTCTGACATCACTAAGAGATACCATCTCACAGTGAACTCCCTGATCCTCTGGCTCTTATAATCTTTTTGCCCCCTCTTCCACAAAGCTCCATGAGCCTTAGATGTAGGGTGTTTTGTAGATATATCCCATTGGGACTGAGTGCCACAACCCTGCATTTTGATTGGTTTTCGTTTTCTAGTGGTCTCCATCTGCTGGAAAGAAAAATTTCCTTGTTGAGGAGTAAGGACTACACCTCCCTGTGGGTATAAGGACAAATGTTTATAGACTGTTGCGAGCGATTATTCAGGCCTAATAAATTAGTAGTTGTAGATTTTCCTCCAACAATCATGAGTTCCCTAGGCACTGAGTAGTTAGCTGGGTTTCTGGCACCAGGCATGCTTTCTCTCTTGCTGAATACAATGAGAGAGTTGTTGGTTACTGCTAAGGTATGCATGCCACTATTGCACTCTTAGGTTACAGTGCCATGCCGGTTGTTGATGTGGTTCACGGGTGTCATAACTGGGTAGGACTGTTGGTTGCCTCCCTCCTCTGGACGCTTGCATGGTGCCTTCTGGTACCGTGAAAGCTAGTCCTCAGAAAGGAGGCATTCAGGTCAAATCCACATCTGGGATCTTATTACAGAGCACCAGGGATATTGGTGCAGAACAGGATCTCATACTTATGTCTGTCTGGCACCTTTCAATAAAATTTTACAGAAAGGTCTCTACCTTGACAAATTAGAAATCCCCTGCCTCATTTTACAGTTAACTGTATTCTGGAGTAAATGTTTATTCATTCATTTAATCTCAATAATGGAGAACGAAAAGGATTTAGGACTTATTACCAACCAAGTGACAAAGATGTTAGGGTTTAGATTTCTGGATTCAAATTTCAGCTTGGATTTATTAGTTGACCTTGGACAAGAGACTTACCCTGCCTGCCCCATTCCCCCACCATAAAACAGGGAAAATAAAAACATCTAAATCAGTCATGTAGCAATTCAATTACTAACTCTACTAACCAAGCTCTCCTATAAGCATTTTGTTATCAACAAATACTTACTGTTATAATCTTAAAAGGAGAATAAAAGGAGCACATATCATGCAAGTCATTCATGTGTAAATGTTAGAGATACCCCCAAAGTATTCTAGGGAAAATATTGTTGGAAAAAAAAATCCCTTTAATTCTAAAAATGTAAATAAAGTACCTGACTAGATTACCAGCTATTCACTCCTAATGCTATAAACGTACCCGAAACTTACAAACATACTGAAATTTACAAGAAGATCACCCATAAGACAAGGAGAATGCATACAATAGAAGGGCCCATTTCAAGGGCCCCAAAGTTTGTTCCAAACATGAGCCAGCAATCCAAAGCGGAGGCCAAGGTCTGTGAAACCGCAGCTGGGTCACTTAGGGTCAAATACATATTAAATTTCTTTGTCCTACTGCTAATTTCACAAGCAGTTTGGGGAAATAAATTTACTTGTAATTTGAGACACTGAGTAATAGTGATTAGAAAGTAAATGACTGGCACAGAGAATCCTGGAATATTGATCAACTCACAAAAAAGAAAACCAAACAAACACTCAAAGTCACAGTCCCTCTCCTCCTCCTGGGCCTTACACATGCTTGGCAACTGTGCACATCTGAGACACAGCCTGGCCTCTAGCCATAATTTCCATCAAATGTTCACCGTATAATTGGCTAGGCACAGGTGGCGAGGCTGGAAGAGATTCAAAGAAGGCTGGGGCAAGGGTCACTGGTAGAGTCTACGAAGCATGTGCAAGCCCTGTGTTCTTAACTAAGACTCAACCTCAGCTCTTAATCCTCTCGATCCTTTGTCTGGCTTCTTAAACCCTCACTGTAACCCCTACACCCACTCACTGTGGAGCAGGTGACACTTGTGCATCTTATATGTGACAAACAAGAGTTTTCAGAAGGTTCAAAGCCTTGCAAGGCAGCTAGAATTAAGGAAAGGCGTTGCCTCTGAGATCCTTTCTAAAAATGTTGCCCTGGATAAAAATAAGGATGGCTAGAAGAACAAGAGGTCAGAGAAAAACAGACGAGCGCTGAGACACACCTTGTGGGAGGCTCCGGACTTGTCAACCAAGTGCTCCTGTGGTATGTATGGTATGCTTCAGCTTCCAGAGAGCTGAAACACGGGCCTCACACAGACCCTGCTCTGGAAGGTGCTCTCGGCCTGATTGCCTGGCATGACCCCTGTGCACAGCATGTGCAAGACTGAATCTTCAGATTCTGCAACAGACTCATCCACCAAACAAGGAAAAGGTCATGGGCATCACTTGATGGCAAACATCAAAGAGTGCCCTTCTGTTTTCTCTTCTGTAATTTTGTTCCATTGTTTTAGGTACAGAAAATATGATTTTGATCGAGTATTAAGGACCTTATGAAACCAACTTTGATTTCTGACAAAGAGAAAAGCAACTACGTGACAGAGTTTTCTCCTATTAAAAGGAACGGTTATGTAACCAGCCCACATGGAAGAGCCAAGCTGAAGTCGACATGGTAAAAGACAGCCGGATGAGCTGCTGATGAAGCTCAGCTGATGCAGCACTTGCCCTGTGTTCCATCCTCAGCACCACATAAAACAAGCAACAGTGACACACAGTTGTACTGCCAGCAGGTGGAGGCAGGAGGATCAGAAATTCAAGGTCATCCTATGACCATATAGGACTTGGATTCAGCTTAAGCTCCCTTCTCAAGATATAAATAAATAAAACAAGCAAGCAAGCAAAGTAAAGATTAATAGAGCCCACTCCTTTCTTCCAAGTCGAGATGGTGGTGGACCTACTTTTCATACAGCCTCTGTCCTCTCATGAAGGCCTTCACTTCGTTGTCCAGCGGGAAGGTTCCGTCATCCTTTCTAAAGCGGTAGAAGAGCTTTACATCCTTGAATTCCTTGTGCTCGTCACACACTGAAACACAGAACACACAGAGAGGACAATGAAAGCCTCGCCAGAGACAGAAGATTAAAATCCATCTCGCCGCTTCAATACTTGCTCACAGGGACATCAATGCTCAGCACAGTGCTGTGGCTCAGTGTTTGTCAGCATCACTACCGTCACCAGGTATTGAAAGGCTCACGAAATGTGGAGGCCCAAAAATGTGAGTCTATTTCCACCTCGTCTGAAGGTCAGAGAGTTTTAGCTTGTTCAAAGTTGTTGACCAGTGAGGCTTCACTCCCTGACCTAGGGTTTGGTTCTTGATCTTTTTGACTTTAAGATGGCCCGTACAGGTAGATCCATTCCACCCTGACCAATGGTCAGAATATTCAAGCATCCTTCCGCCCCTTCTTTTGAAATAGGAGGTTTGACATTGGGAGTGGCTGCCCTCAGGATACTTGGTCTAGGGTGGCTTCACTGCCTAAACAACAGAATGCTAATGACTTGACGTCTCAAAGTATTGAAGCAAGTAACTGTTCTAGTTGTCCTTTGTATCACGTTAAAGTAGTCTTTTGTCTTCTCCCCCTGTTGTACTGGGGTGTAAAAGTGTGTGGAAAATTAAATGCAGGCGATTTCAGTATTCACTGGAGCTCCCTCCCGGTACTGTCCTATGTTTCTGTTTTATTATTTTCAGTCACATCTTCGCTTTCTTTACTAGTTTTCTAACCCCCATGCTCCTACCCTGGTAAGTGGTATTTTTGTCAAAGCTGGTCTCCAACAACCAAATTCACTTCATCACTCCTGTCTCTGACTTCATAACGAGTACATCCACTCAATCAATGTGATCTTCATTGCCTCTCCAAACACCTTGCCAGTGCCGCCTCACTCACCATGATGAATGATGCCCCGGTCAGCCAATTTCTGCATGAGTTTTATTGCTGTCTCTCGGTCAGAGGCCTCCTTGTGCTCAATCAACCAGTCAATCAGTTCTTTCGCGACAAAGCAGTTTGGGTAGGTCTTGAGATGATGCCGCCTATCCTTAATAACCTTTTCTTCATGGAGCCTCAGCCTAAAAAGACAAACAAGAACTTGAGGAATGTTGACGGCAACAGGAATTATTAAACCAATCCCATGGAGAAGTAATTAAACAAGTTGGAGATTTCCATCCAATCAGAACCCCTCTCTCCAGCACAGATTTTTTTTTATGTCCTCCGAATTTGCATTCATACATTCATATGACATAAGTACATGCCTTCACTAATTCATATGACAAAGACTCATACATGTTATGACCTACCTGTTACAGACTTCTAGGCACTAGAGGCATGTATTAGAAAATATGGACAAAAAAGCTCGCCTTTGGGGGCATTTGTTTTCTCCAGTAGGGACCATAGCTATGTTTTCTTTTGTTGGCTGGTTGGTTCTTGGGACAGGGTCTCATGGGGCTCAGACTGGTCACAAACTTGGTTTGCAGTCAAGGATGACCTTGGATTCCTGATCTTCATGCCCCTACCTCAGACTATAGGCTTGTGCTACCACACTGAACTTCCAGAGCTAATCTTGATGCGAGGTTTACTGGCTTCCACGAGTTAATCTGAGCACCCTACAGAGAGCATCACAGCAATCCACCAGCAGTCAGTGCCACCTCATTCTTTTACAAGCAGAGACTGAGGTCTGCTGTAAACTATTATTTTAACTGGGCAAAGATGTGTTACCTTTGTTTATGCTGCAGAATATTACTACTTGAACTAAATAAAGGTGTGTTGCTTTTGTTTCTGCTGCATTTGTTTAATCATGTAAAGATGTGCTGCATTTGTTTCACCTTGCCTGCCTAAGGCACCTGATTGGTCTAATAAAGAGCTGAATGGCCAATAGCAAGGCAGAGGAAAGGATAGGCAGGGCTGGCAGGGAGAGGGAATAAAGAGGAGGAGAAATCTAGGCCTGAAAGAAGAATGAGAGAAGAAAAGGAGGAGGAGAGAATGAGGCAGACACCAGGTAGCAGACACAGAGAAGCAGGGAAAATAAGATATACAGAAAGAAAGGTAATAAACCCTGAGGCAAAAGGTAGATAGAGAGAAACAGATTAATTTAAGTTAAAAGAGCTAGCCAGAAACGTGACTGAGCTAGGCCTAGCATTCAAAACTAGTCAGTCTCTGTGCCATGGTTTGGGCAAAAGCCTGGGATAGAGGTCCTGTGATCACATGACTTGTCTAAACCCACATGGCTAACAAGTCTCAAAAATGAGATCTGAGGCCTGCTGTTGTCCCTGAGTTCATCACGCTGCCTCCAGCTAGAGATGGATAAATGAAAAGTCAAGGAGAAATCGATTAAAGCTGTTGGGGAAAAAAAAAATACAACTTACTTCCAGGCTGGTAAATTAGTGGAAAGTGCTCTGTGGGAGCTTTCGGTGATTTCACAAAGAAATTATGGACCTGCCTGTTCTTTAAGGTTTCTGTCATTTACCATTTTTTTGTTTGTTTGTAAATCATCCTTGCATTTCCTTTTTGTTTCTCAAATGAAGGAACTGAACTGGTGACCCACAAGGTCACCTTCTACAATCCACTCACCTGACTTCTATATTTCATAATGCATATTCTGAACAGTGCTGTGCAGGCCTGGGAATTGGAAAGCCTGTATACATAAAGGACTGTATGACTCTGGCAAGTGATTTAAGGGCTCCCCCACACCCACCCACCATCAGTGAAGTGGAGAGTTTGGATCGACTTTCTAACCCTGGCCATGTTGAAATTTAGAGGTGGGTATGCCGACCAGAAACCCAGCAGAGTGGATCCCCCACGGGGACAGTTCTAAGGAAAGAGATGGAAGGGCTGGGGGTGTGGCCCTCAGTGGAAAAGTATGGGCCTAGCAAGTGTGTAGATGAGAGAGAGGGAGAAAGCCTGGTAGGACTAGAAAGAGGGAGAGATCCTATTCCTATCTAGTTTTTTGTTTGTTTGTTTTTCTGATACAAGTGCTCATGTATTCTGACCACTCTCCAAATCCATGTGTAGCTATGAATGACCTTGAACTTCGGAACTTCTTGCCTCTACCTCCCAAGTGATAAAGAGTCCAGGTCTGTACTACCATGCCCAAGTTTTTGTAAACCAAGCAAGCACTGTACCAACTGACATACTGCCCAGTCTTCTGCGCGGAGGGGGCAGTCTTTTATACCCCACACCAGCTCAAATATGCTCTGTAGCTAATGATGACCTTGAGCTCATGGTCCTTTTGTCCCTACCCTCCAAGTGCTAGGATTGCAGAATGCATCCATCACCAGGCCCACTTTAAATTTTGACATCTCAAAAGTTGTCCCAAGTAGGGAGTATACTCAACCGAAATCTCTGAGGCTTAGGTGTCCTTTGCTATATCCAACTGCCACACACCAAATTGTGTTCTCAAATTCATACCCGCCTCCTCAGTTGATCTTTCCATTCCAAGTATTCTGTAACTCTATTTAGACAATGGGTTTCTAAAGATGGAACTGAAGAACTGGGGATGGAGGTTAGATGCAGAACACTCACCTAGCACCTGCAAGGGTCTGAAGAGCAGGCCCTAACCCGCTATGACTGAAAATTGGGGCATAGGCATATATAAAGATACAGGGAGAATGTCACCATCTACGCATCAAAGAGGCCTCAGAGGAGGACAATGCACCTTGATCTTGGATTTCCAGGCTCCAGGGCTGAGATGAACTTTTAAACCCTGTAGTCTGCTGAGCCAACTAACACAACCACTGAAGGCTGAAGGCTTCGAGACCCTGGAGCAGCCTAAGAAGGAAAGACTCAAGGACTCAGGCTCTGCTGGGACCAGGCAGTAGAGATGGGGAATAAGAGAATGAGGCAGTTCCCAGAGCTGGGAGCTACATAGAAAAAAAACAGTGAGTTCAAATGAGTTTCTAGTCCATGCCTAATGCTGTACTAAACGTACAATCAAAAACTGATTCACCTATCTGGAATCTCACTGCTCTCACTTGTGAAAGAAGGGTTTTGGACACGTGAGTGACCATGTGATCTCTTTACAGTGGATAGTGAAATTCTTGGAGCTTCACCTACCTCTTTTCTGCTAATTACACTCTCACTTCCCCTGGGAAAACCATTCAGCATCCACTAACAGTTCAAGCAACTCATATGCAACTGGGCTTAGCCCCAACATGTGACCCAGGCTTAGGCAATGATAGCACGCTAGTTATTCCTCGAGCTCTAGGTTGGGTGCGTGAATGAGCAAGTAACTTCGACAAGGCAATCCTGAGGCTTTTTCTGCAAGTCCTGGTTGTCACTAGACTTTATAGACGGTGATGCCTACAATCCTCAGCACGATTACTGCTGCAGTCGTGGGCTATGTCACAAGACCCTGTCCCAAACAAAGAAAACAAATGCTTGCAGTTACATTCTTGTCATGATAAAGGCATGCATGTCCAAGAAAAACCTTGAACACAGAACAAAGCAGTAATAATATAAACAGATACAAAGAAACCAAGAGAAAAGCTTTACCAGGCATGATGGAATATGCCTGTAATTTCAACACTTTGGTCAGGAGGCAGGAGAACTGCCAGTTTGAAGTCAGCCTAGGTTACAAAGAGGACTGATCTCTAAAAAGCAAAACAACAATAGCAAAGAAAACTCTCTCCAGCCGGGCGGTGGTGGCGCACGCCTTTAATCCCAGCACTTGGGAGGCAGAGGCAGGCGGATCTCTGTGAGTTTGAGACCACCCTGGTCTACAAGAGCTAGTTCCAGGACAGGCTCCAAAACCACAGAGAAACCCTGTCTCGAAAAACCAAAAAAAAAAAAAAAAAAAAAAAAAAACTCCAATAACCATGCCTGTGCACCTGAAATCAACAGTCCCCGAAGCCAAATGAACTTGTATTTAAGTACCATGAACCACATGTTCCTTATCCTTTCGTGAGGTTAGTTAAGGTGCCTAATCGACTACCAAAATGGTCCTAGATCTCCCACTGGATGACTCAATGGCTCTGTGACACTGTATGTTGCCACTTTTGGGCCTCCAGAGAACCCATCGGTAGTTGGAGCTGTGTGACCTGAACATAGTGGTCCCCGGGCCCCTGGAGCAGGCGTTTGACAGATTCCCATTTCCCCATCTTCCCACTTTCCTCTGTTGCTATTACTGTGGTCAGTCCATCTGGATTTTTGAGATGGGGTTTTCCCATGCAGCCTGGATGACATATTATGCATTCATTATCTTTGTTCTGAACTCAAACAGTCCCTTACAGTTGCTGTTCTTATGCTGCTGTGATCTCCTAATCTAGTTTGTAGAAAACACTGATGAACTCAGGGGCCGCAAAGACAGCTCAGTGATAAAAAACACGTCCTGCTTTTGCAGAGGGCCCGCGTTAGGTGCTTCATGACCCCCAGAAACTCCCTCTTCAGGGGATCTGAGACCCTCTTCTAAACTCCACAGGCATCTGTGCTCACATGTGCATGCTGTTATGTCCACATATACATATTATTATAAATAAAAAGAATCTTTGAGAAAAACGAATTCGGAAAGTTCCAGCAGAAGCCTAATCCGAACATCTATGAATAAGGAAAATGAGTGTTTGAGGTATGGAGCTTTTGACATCTATTTTCATTACTCAAAGACTGTTTTGTGTGCGGATAAATCGGTGACAGCAAATGTTGGTACTTAACCAGAACATTTGGCCACTTATAATTACCTAAAACCCTAAGAGTCAAAATGTGCTGTAGGGCTCGTGAATGAGAGGGCACAGCAATGAACCCACCAGTAAGAGAGATGAAAATGCCAGCGACAGGAAGAGAATAATCCCAAGAGGCATCGTCCAATGGGCCTAAAATCCACCCTTGAGACAGCAGTGATGAAGCAGGATTGCCTGACTGAAGAAGAAGAATGTGGGTATAAAAGGTAGAGGCAGAAGGAATTTATCAAGATCATCCTCAACCAATAGTAAGTTGAAGGCCAGGCAGGGCTATATGAGACCCTATTTCAGCTGTAGCAGCAGCTACAACACACACACACACACACACACACACACACACACACACACACACACACGGGGTGGGGAGAGAGACTGGAAAAGGAAAAAGTTAGGAAACCCAA